AGCCTTTGGTCTACGCTACCATCAGCTGTTTCATCGCTGCGCAGGCAGCGGGAGGCCCAAGCCTTCCGATTTTCGGCGTGGCGGTCTCGATGGGCTCGGCGCACTCTTCAGAACTCATGAACTCGGTCTTCTTTACGCCGGAGCCCAACTTCATCGAGCACATCGTGCCAGCTGCAGCTTGCTTGGAGATCCACCCCCCCCCCCCATCCGCTATCAGGGCGATGTGTTTCGTCCAGATAGCGGATAGCAGGAGAGATGATGATTTTAGGAGACCTCTCCATGAGTTCACTCGCCATAGAGATCGAAGAGGAACGGGCGCAGGGCTGATCATTGGTTATCTCAATCATAGTCGCTACCTCTGCCAAGCCTTGAGTGTGCGTACGGTTGCCTTAGCCCCATCATAAATGTCCTTCACTGTGGAGATCAGGTGTTCCGGAACGTTACGTTCCTGAGCGCTCTCCAGAGCACAGGCCGAGGCAGGCGGTCGAATGCCTTCTCAAGGTCCAGGAAGGCTAGGTAGCAGGGTCGCCGCTTCTCTCGGTACTTCTCCATGACTTGTGGCAATGAAGATGGCATCAGTGGTGGACTTTTCAGGCACAAAGCCGACGCTCGTGCGAAGTAGGGATAAGTTGCATTAGCGTTGTGTGAGTTATCTGTTGTGGCAGTAGCTGGAGCGCTCCATTGCATCATTTTTCTGATTGGAGGTGGGGAACGATTAGCTGTTCCTCTTCGCATCCTTCGTTTGGCTGTTACATTGATCAGGAAGTGTGTGAGCCAACTCACCTATGCCATTCGAAGACCATCCATACCTCTATCGGCACCCCGTCTGGACCCGCTGCCTCCCCAACCTTCATCGTTCCTAGCTCGCTGCGGGCTTCATCCTCTGTCCAAAGAGTCCTCTGCCGTTGCCTCTACTTGTGGACTATCCTTGAATTCTTTTTTGAATTTCTCGTTCAGGAGTACCTCGAAGTACCTTCCTACTAATGTCCTCTTACTAGTTCTGGCAAACTCCCTGAAAATGGGACCGTTGCTGCTCTTTACAGTCTTTACTTCTCTGATGTTCTGAGCAGCACGGCCGGGCTTTGTCCTGGTGGAAGATGAACTTCTCCCCTTCTCGGCACTCCAGCTTCTCGCGCAAGACATCTACATCCGTATTCTTGGCTTCGGCGACAACTGCCTTAGCGCGTTGCTTGCAGCTCTTGTAGGTGAGCCTCCTGCGCTCTTCTACCTCTGCCAGTGTTTGTATGCTTCCTAGTTCTGCTCAACGATGCCCTGGACTTCTTCGTTCCAGAACCATGCTGCACTATACCTTCTGATACCATATCGCGTCTCTCCAAGATTTCGTTTGCACATTGCCAGAATAGACCTGTGCTGTCCTTCTCCCGGCAGCAACTTAATGTCCCCGACGGTCTTAGGAGACGATCTTCTTACGAGAACACGATATCCGTTTGGCTCCATCCGCTGCGGTAGCTTGACTTCCGAGTCTTACAACGAACTCAGGCCAAGGTTCTGCGCGCCGTTTCCGAGTGGCGTCTAAGCATGAACACTGGTTCTATCGCGACTTGTCATGATTGGTGTCATCGCTTCTCCATCAGCCGGCCTGTCAACCTGGGCCTGACGCTGGTATCGTCCCCATTTTTGCAATTTTTGCAAGGCAGGTTTGTGCCTCGGCAGGGATCGAACTTGTGGCTCAGAGTAGGAACATGAATCTACATTCTCGACCACTCGGCTATCCCTGCCCAGTTCACAGTGACAATAAATTGTAATCTGTCAATTCACTTCATCTAGCAGAAGGCACAAGCGGAACTCCAGAATGACCCTCTCACGCCGAATAGCGTCAGGATTTTTTATTGAGGGAGATCGATTGATTCCAGGGGATAGAGATTAGCGATAAAGATACATAAGGACTCGATAATGATTTCTGATCGACAGAACAACCTACTAGGATCACGTGACAGAAAACGTTATACGTGATAACCAGATGTAGCAAGAGCGTCGGGGATTAAGCAACAAACACCAGTAAGTAGTACGTTCTAAGGGTTTTGCGCTATGAGTAACAGCATTCTAGGTCGCTAGTAAGTAATAATACAAAGGATTATGATAATGTGTGATGTGGGATTGCAACAGGAGGAAATGAAGAGCAGGTTTTCAACTGTTGTTATATAAGAAAAGTCTTCGTTTTTCTTCGAAAATGTATCCAGAAAATATTCCATTTTTCAGAAGGAATATCTGTTCAGCGCTTATCCAGAGCTGAAACATTATAATCTTAGTCGCCAGGTTGGCTTTGATATCAAGGCAAGAGACGGTTTGATCCTTCAGGCGTACCTCAGTCTTCCACCGGAGGTGAGCTCTAGGAACAATTGTCTTCCGATCAAGAAATGTCACCACGTACTCACTCCCGGAGCTGCGATGTATTTCCAGGCTGCATTACGAGCTGCGCGAGATGTTTCACCATCTGATCACGGCTACGCCGACCTTGGGATGCTACCTGTTAATCCTCAGAAGCTTGTCGTCCTTGTTCATGGTGGTCCAAATGCCAGAGATACTTATGAATTCGCGGAAGAGAACGCATTCCTAACGAACAGAGGTTATGCTGTACTCCAGGTAAGATGCAGTTTCATGCTCTATACAGTTCAGACCATCAACTAGTCGAACTTATTTGGTTGGTTTCAGGTGAACTTCCGTGGAAGCACTGGTTTGGGTAAACGTTTAGTAAGCGCTGGCAATGGGGAGTGGGCGAGAAAGATGCACCTCGACATATTGGATTCGGTCAAATTTGTTGTGGCAAAAGGGATTGCAAATAAATCTCAGGTTGCTATCATGGGTAAGTATGCGGCAGTTTATTTCGTGCGCTAGATTCCGGAAATGTTTATCAGTATCTCCGACATATGACTTTCTTTCTTCGGAACCTAGCTGACACAAGTGTTAGCCGAGTAGATATGGGTCTAGGAACATCATCTTAGCACCCTGACTAGTCACGAGTTCGATGCTTGCTGAGACACAATCCATGCTTTGCAACTAGCAATAATGGTTGTGATACCAGCACCAGGCTCAAGTTGACAGGCCGGCTGACGGAGAATTCAGTCGTGTGCCTACGGGAGACGCGCCAGAAAAAAGCCAGGGCTTGCGAAATCGTAGAAATAATCACGCGCGTTTTTTCAGACAGTAGGATAATCTAACATGTACTGTGTCTCCGCAGTCACTCTAGAGTAGGATGAACTCTAATTCACTCCGGATGAGGCCACA